GAAATTGTGGTGCACACCCGAGCGGTGCGGGGGAGGAGAGCGATGTGATCTGTTGGCGTGTCAGAAGAGGCTAGGCTCTCCTCCCGCCCACCCCGCTCAGCCTCCTGTGACAGAGCAGGGGAGCTCTGTGGGGGCGGAGACAGCTGTCACAGGAGGCCTGGCCGGCGGTATGGGGGTGAAGTAATTTGTCAAAGGAGACTGAGCTCTCCTCCCGCCACCACTCAATCAGCCTCCTGTGACAGCGAGTCAGAATGTAGAGCGGGTAGAAGCACTGTGTTTGTAAATAATTAAGGCCATAGTAGGTGTACTGTGTTCCCAAATAGGAATGAATGGGAAGTGATCTACATCATTTCCTGTTCATTCATGATTGCGGACATAGTAAACATACTATCTTCAAAAGTTATGAATGAACAGGAACACTCAGTATAGAGGATTCCTGTTTATTTATAACAGGGACTGCAGAAAAAGAGATTGAGGACTCTGTGTCCTCAAATCACTTTTTCTATTTTGAAAGGGAAATATCAGGGATCTGTTTAGACCCCTGATATTTCTCCGACACCCTTAACAGTAAAGTAAAAAAATGACAATATTTAAATAAAAAATATAATAAAAAATGTAAAAAGGCTAGAAAACAATTGTTGTTTTGGTCTGACATTTTTTTTATTTTCGGTTTTGTTTCGGTTTTAAAAATGTCATTTTGGTGCACCTCTAAATAAAATATTATCCCACCTTTAAAGTTTTAAGTCCCACCCACTGTATCTCCTAGCAAACATTTAGAACAGTCTGTTCAGGGATTTTTTTTTTAGGGTAAAATAAGACAGTGCCTATGCACATCATCATACATCCTATTATTAAAGCAGACCTTTACCCATATCATTAAAGTAAAAACAAACACACCTTTAGAATTATTAGATAATTGCTGGCTTTGTACTTTTTGCATATCTTATCTCTCTTTTCTTCCTAAGTCTTCTGACAGTGGCCATGTTTACTAAGGGCAGATTACTAGCTCTCCTTTTACTTTCTTGATTTCTGACACGTGATTAGACATGTGACTAGGACATGTGACCATGCACATCATCTCAGGGGAGGAAAATGTATTTTCCTGAGATTGTGAGATTACAGATGAGATTTCCCAGCAATGCTCTGCTGATGACAAGGCAATCCCAGTGTGCATTGCTTTGACAAACTGAAGTTATTTTGCCCTTTTACAGCAGGAAGTGAATGCTCTGCAAGTTTATTTCAAAATCACAGCATTTTACACGAGACAGGTCTATGTTATTATTAATCATAGATAGAGGGATGCATTGGTAGAATTAGATTTTTGAATGTAAAGGTCCATTTTAAGTAGATGCCAGGAAAAGTATCCACTCTGTGCCAGAATGACACTATCCTCCCCAGACAGCTGAACCTCCTCCTTTGATAGTGGTCATTGAATGGGCAGCACTTCTGCTCACTGATATGTGGTTCAGCATCAAAGAAATGCCCATGGCATTTGTGACAATCACATATTGTCACCATCACAATGCTTACAGAGGAAAGACCCTGATTAAGACCCTCCCTAAGTTCAGCAATAAAGTTCCTCAGCATAATATCTACAGTAAATTATCTACAGGGACTTCTGCGCTCGATTAATCTAAAAAACTGGGTGTTTCTCCTTACAGCTGCTCACTTAAATTGGCTGCATAAGCCTGCATTAATATCATTAATAATTAATAAAAATCATCCATAATATCTACAGTACGGACATTGCTTTTAGAGGGTGGTAAGTAATGGGTCAATTGAATTTGAAACCCCAATTCCAAAAAAGTTGGGACACTGTGGAAAATGTACATAGAAAAAGCAATGAAATTATTTGCAATTGTAATAAGCCCATATTTTGTTCACAATAAAAAAAACATATCAAATGTATAAACTGAAAAATTTACCATTTTAAGAAAAAAATAGGGTAATTTTGAAATTGATGGCAGCAACACATCTCAAAAAAGGTGGGAAAGGGCCATGTTTACCTCTTCTTTTAACAACACTCTGTAAACATCTGGGAAACTGAAGAGACCAGTTGCTGGAGATTTGGGAGAGGAATGTTGTCCCATTCTTGCCTGATATGGGATTTTAACTGTTCAACAAGCCCGGGTCTTCATTGTCATATATTTTGTTTCAAGATGTGCCAAATATTTTTAATTGGTGAAAGGTCTCTGGACTGCAGGCAGGCCATTTAAGCGCCTGGAGTCTTCTACTGTGAAGCCATCTTGTCGTCATAAATGCAGTATGTAGTTTTGCATTATCCTGCTGAAAAATGCAAGGCCTTCCCTGAAAAAGAAGTCTGGATGGGAGCATATGCCGTTCTAAAACCTGGATATATCTTTCAGCATTGATGTTGCTTTTCCAGATGTGTAAGCTGCCCATTCCATGTGCACTAATGCACCCCTATATCATCAGAGATGCAGGCTTATGAACTGAGCGCTTATAACAAGCTGGAAGGTCCCTCTGGTCTTCATTCTGCAGGATGTGGCGCCCATGGTTACCAAAAAGAATGTAAAATTTTGATTTGTCTGACCACAGAACAGTTTTCCACTTCGACAAACCATTTTACATGAGCTTCAGAGAGGACAGCGGTATTTCTGGATCATTGTATGACATAGCTTTAACCTGCATGTTTGGATAGCACAGCAAACTGTGTTTACAGACAGTCATTTTTTTTAAAGTATCCCTGCGCCTATGCAGTGATGTCCACCACAGAATCATGACTGTTTGTAATGCAGTGCCGTCTGAGGGCGCGAAGATAACGGGCATCCAGATTCTTTTACTCTTTTGATCATATTATGTACTGTAAATGATGATATAGTTAAAGTCTTTGGAATTTTACATTGAAAACATTATTCTGAAATTGTTCAACAATTTTTAGATGCAGCTTTTTAGATGTTGGTGAACCTCTGCACATGAATACTTCTGAGACACTCTGACTCTCCAAGATACTTTTTTTTATACCCAGTCATGTTACTGACCTACTGCCAATTAACCTAATTGGTTACAAAATGTTCTTCTCTGCAGCCCCTTTGGTGGTGTGCTACATGTGCTAGGGAATACGTTATATTGAAAATATGTGGCTGCATTTAGTTCAAATTTAAAGACCATTTCCACCGTTCCAGAGGTATTTTTAAAAAACATATGTCAGTAACGTACACCGAGTGGACATGAGGCAGGCACATGCAACTGATGTATATGAAAACAGAAACTTAAATTTTTTTGTTAGCTTTCCTCTTCCTTCTTCCATATCCTCATGGGAATGGCTGCCGCTGTGCTGTGCAAGCAATGTGTGTATTTTTTTTTTAAATGTTGCAGTGAAACGTTAAAGTGGGCTATCAAAAAAGACATTGACACTGCTAATAACCACAGTTATATGCAAATACTGGTATAAGTATGTGCCCAGAAAAAAGGCAAAGAATCTGATACAGATAAATCAATTGTTAACCATTTTCACTGGTGAAAAAGATCTGTAAATGATAAATGACTAAACACATGCGCAACAAGCAATATTAGTGCAGTTAGCCTCTAAACTAATCAGAATTAGTTTCTTTAATAACCATAATTTTTCTCAAAGCCTGGTTGCTAATAGGGCACGGTTCTTTGTATATCATTATTGGTATTTGCACTCCCGCAGTAAATACGCCTATATGAGTGCCAAGAGGTTGAGTGTTTCAGATCTGATCATGCCAAGAAAGAATGGAAGTTTTAATTGGATAGATGCATTTTCAGGACTTAGAAGCTTTACTAAGTTAACTACAAATGACTTTCAAATGCTAATCTAGAGACATATTATCCAAACATTTCACCAGTGGTCAACCTGCAGAGAATAAAAACAACAGAACCACTGATAACGTAAACCTTCAACACTTGCCCACCCTCCTCTTTAATCCTAATACTAAGGAACTAAAAAACTAATATTCCATATTAACTTAAACATATTACTGTATTTTCAAAAGTAATCAAATACGGGTAGTATTACGGGTAATACTACTTAATATTCTCTCCATTTGAAAAGATAGGAATATACCATGTTTTTTTCAGCACCAGCAATGTGCATTCGGATTCTTTTCTTCTATACTTGACATTCATTCTGCAGTTCATCATTTATTTCTCACCTAATTAGTTCTTATAATTGTAAATGCTGAGATGTTATAGAGATAATCAAAGAGCTAATTACCACTAGCTCATTTTTACAATATGATATGACACTAGAAATTGTATTATTACTAAAGTATACAGCTTGCATCCTGGCTGATGAGCGCAGAGAGGAAGATCTGCGGTGTAATTTGGATCTGACTGTGTATTGTACAAGGACATTTAAATACAACTAGACATTCATGTTTCAGAGTGTTTGTGCTGGCAGAAAATAGAAAAAAAGTGCACAGTTTTACATATCTAACAGCTGACACACACTGAAAAATCAAAAGAAGACAGTCACATTTGTGTGAGCATTTTAACTTCCCACGCTTGTAATAATATTCAACTTATATCCTGAGGAAATTAAGGCTTTTTTCAACCTAAATAATATAAAAACACATATAGGAATTATAATTATGACAGTGATATAACTGGATTGCCTGAGAGGATGACAGGCAAAAGTAGACAAGTACTGCTTATGTTTTAAGAAACAGACAATAGGTTCAAATAGAGATGCATAGCAAAATATGACTTGTACCACGTTTTCTTCTTTCAGATGCCATTATTCAGGATTAATATCTAAGCTGCAGTATCATACATACATACATTTACTTCTGTAAAATACTGTGCTCACTGCTGATGAAGACAGAGCATAAAATAACAAGGCAGAGAAAGTGAGCCTACTATTTTACTCTTGCTAAGTATATACGGGAAAAGAGAAGCGGTTTTGCAACATCTACGCAGCTATCAAAAGACCGTTATAAACATCTTACAATGGACATTTGTACTATAGTCAAGCATTTGAAAAAATAATTACTCTGGGTAAGAAAATGGCATACCAAGTTTCAAAGCTGAAGGGGTGACCTCAATTTCTCCTCGAAGCGGCTGGTATGTGGGGTGCTGAGCTAGTTCTGCTTCAAAGGGGTCAGGGCTGAGGCGATCCATGATGGTTGCTCCATCTTCTGTTTTACTGGACACATGTTCATCAAATACGGCTATCAACTGGAAGAAGAGGACAAATCCTGTTACACACATAGCAGTAAAAAAACACTACACATAATGGACATCTCGAAACAAGAAAAAAATCTTTAGGCTCATGCACACAGACATACAAGTGTACAGACATACAGCATAAAATTTGCCTGTCTTTGCAGGGCCTGGGAACCCCAGCTGCTGCATGTTTGTGTCCTTAGGATTGTATGGATAGAAAACGCGGTTTGTGGGTATGCACAGGGGCATAAATTCCTGAGAACAGAAGTTTCACATCTGCAAAATTACGCCCATACGGGCAAGTGTTTAGATGTCGATACTTTCCTTTACATGCATATACCCAAGTGCAGTGCATTCTGTCCATACAAACCTATAGACATCAAAACAAGCAGCTGGGGCTTCTGGTGCCGCAAATCCAGACCTATCTTACACTAAATTTTAAACTGTATGTCCATATGCTTATATTTGCATCCCTGTAGGTATTCTTGTGATGCCGACGCAGCCCCAAAATAATTAAATTGTCAGCATTGCTCTAGTAGAATTCCATTCCACTGTGCTGCCAGTCTCCTGAAGCCTCTTCTCTTCAGCGCTCCAGCCGGCGGTTGGACTCTGACATTGCAATGAGTGCAACGCTAGAGTGAGATTATTTATCTACCTCTAGACTTCACAGGCAACTTAACCTTCCAGTGCGGCCCCTGTCGCACTTCAAGGGTATCAGCTTTAAAGTATATGTAAGGGCAGCATATTATTTTGTTTTAGTGTTGAAGGATTAGACCCTGTCAAGTATTTATTGCTATCTGACTCCATGGTGAGTAGAATTACCCTCTTTATTTATCCCAGTGACTGTTGTCACCAAATCAAAATGTGATGGGAAATTAATTTCTTTTGTTGTCACTAGAAAAATAAGTACACCTGTCTCTATCACAATTCTGTATGATAGGAGTTGCTTTCAATTTGGAAAGATTTGCTCTCATTTTCTGTTGCATCTCTACAACAGGAAGTAAAGGGACTTTCCCCAGCAGGACCCTTATTGGGGTTTAACCCTTCCATAATTTAAAAACTACAAAACAAATGTAGACATTGCATAAACTTTAATATACAGGGCCAGAGCAGACAGGAGAATTATATAGAAGGCTTGGAAGTTTTGGTCTAAGGGACCATGAATCATGAATGCCATCTCAAAAAATTTTGTTTACATAGTCAGATTCAAAAAAGACACAAGTCCATCAAGTTCAACCTATAGAGATAAGAGGAGAAGAAAAAAAAACTAAAACAGAACGCTATGCCCACTGTTACCATGTTGATCCAGAGGAAGGCAAAACAAAAAAAAACAAAACCCTAATAGGCGTAGTTCAATTTGCTCCAACAGTGGAACAAAAATCCTTGCTGATTCCGTAAGGCAATCGGACATTCCCTGGATCAACAATTTCTGGTGCTTAATATACCTACAAGAACTTTATATCCAGTAATATTCTGTGCATTTAGGAATACATTCAGGATATTTTTAAAACAGTTAACTGAGCTAGCTAGAACTAGCTCCTGCTGAGTCTGTTCCACATTTTGGAGAGATGAGACAAGAATGCCCCCAAAAAACATAGCTGTAAGACAGCAGAGGCGCCCAGGTGGAAGAGATGAAATTATCATGTTTCTTCAAATTAGACTTTTATTCCATGAAACACACACATAACTATCACAGTCTCAACGCGTTTCATGGCTCCATGATGGCCACTTCTTCATTAGGGTGTGATGAGACACTTTAAGCAGAGTGATAGCGTCTCCCAGCATGTGTAACCATAAATGGTTAAACCTCTTTTCCTCCAAATGCAAAGAGTGTCCCTTGTCCTTTGCAGTGACCTTAAAGTGAATATTTTGGCACCAAGCTCACTATATGGACCATTTAGGTATTTATACATGGTGATCATATACCCCCTTATTCTCCTCTTCTCCAGAGAGAACAAATTCAGGTCAGTTAATCTTTCCTCATAGCGGAGTTCCCACATACCTCTTAAGAGTTTTGTTGCCCTTCGCTGCACTTTCTCCAGTTTCACAACATCCTTCTTGTGAACTGGTGACCAAGCCTGAACTGCATATTCCAGATGAGGTCTTACTAATGCTTTGTACAGGGGCAGGATTATGTCTCTCTCTGGAGTCTATACCCTTTTAATACAAAAAAAGTATGTTGCTTGCTTTAGAAACTGCGGCTCGACATTACATGCTATTATTGAGTCTATGATCTACCAGAACACCCAGATCTTTCTCCATCATTGACTCCCCCAAACATACTCCCCCTAGAGTGTATGACACATGCATGTTTTTAGTTCCCAAGTGCAAAACTTTACATTTATCAACATTAAACCTCATTTGCCAAATAGTTGCCCAATCATACAGTGCCTTCAGATCTGCTTGTAAAATTGAGACATCCTGTATGGATTATATTCCATTACATAGCTTGGTATCATCTGCAAAGAAATAGTACTTTTAATCCCCAACTCTATATCATTTATAAATAGATTAAACATTAAGTGGCCCAACATTGAATCTAACAACCTCAGACCATTCAGAGTATAAATAAGTGATCACCACTCTCTGAATACAGTCTTTAAGCCAGTTTACTCCCCAATTACAGATTGAATACTCTATACCTACAGACTAGAGGTTCACCTAAATGAAAATTCCAAAAACGAAACGCAACCAAAATGAAAAATGTTATTCTAACTTTTTCAAATTTAAAAAAATATTTTATATGTATTCATTTTTATTAAATATTTGTATTTTTTTACTTTACTTTTAGTGGCTTCAGGGGAAATATCAGGGGTCTAAATAGATCCCTAATATTTCCCTTTTAAAATAGAAAAAGAGATTGAGAACACAAGTCCTCAATCACTTTCTGCAGCCCCTGTTATAAATGAACAGGAATCCTCTATACTGAGTGTTCCTGTTCATTCATAACATGAGGACAGAGTATGTTTACTATATCCTCAATCATGAATGAACAGGAAGTGATGTAGATCACTCACATTCATTCATAATTGAGAACACAGTAAACATACTCTGTCCTCAATTATTTACAAACACTCAGCGATCACTGAGTGTTTGTACCCACTTCCCACCCTGAGAAGCTGTCACAGGTGGCTGGGCGGGGGGAGAGCTCAGCCTCCTGTGACAGCAATCTTTGCCCACACCACCGCTCTCCATCCTGGATTGGCCATCACAGGAGGCTGGGCAGGGCGGGAGTAGAGTTCAGCCTCCTGTGACAGCAATGCAGTCTCAGCCCACACCGCCGCTCTCCTGATCTGTGACAGGAGGCCGAGCGGTGCGGGGAGGAGAGACGCCGGCCGCTCACAGTGCTCTCCTCCTCCCGCACCGCTTGGCCTCCTGTGACAGTTTATCTCCTCCCCGCTGGGACACGGATCGCCCAGCGGGGAAGAGAGAAATCATGGATGCACCGCTATAGCTGCCAAACAATTGCACTTTCTGCATTTTGCCAAAAGTGCTATTTTCGGCCGCAGATATAGCGGTGCATCCCTACTACAGACCTTAACTTAACACGCCTGTTGGGAACTGTGTCAAATGCTTTTGCAAAGTCCAAATATACCATATGCACAGCAATTCCTCATAAAAAGAAAGTAGATTTGTTTGCCAACTTCTGTCTTTTGTGAATCCATTCTGGCTATTGCTTATATGACTATTTTCAAGCAAAACCAAGCGCATGTGATCCTTGATCAAACTTTCAAGTATCTTCCCAACTATGGAAGTTAAGCTTACAGACCTATAATTACTTGGTAAAGACTTTGATCCCTTTTTAAATATAGACACCACATTGGCCTTGTCCGAATCCATCGGTAGGTACCAAGCCAGTCATTAGAGACTCTCTAAAAAAGGTTATACAATGGCTTTGAAATTATACGGCTCAATTCTTTGAGAACACGTGGGTGTAAGACATCCATTCCAGGAGCTTTGTTTACCTTAATTTTGTCTGTTTCTGGACCATATCAATAGTCAGCCATCGTGGTTTATACCCATTATGGACTTCAGTTACATCCTGTTCATTGGTGTGCACAGAGCTGAAGTATTTCATTCTTTTTTTCTCTCTCTCTCTCGATATATATAGATACACATACATACATACATACATACATACACTATATTGCCAAAAGTATTGGGACACCCCTCCAAATCATTGGATTCAGGTGTTCCAATCACCTCTGTGGCCACAGGTGTATAAAATCAAGCACCTAGGCATGCAGACAGCTTCTACAAACATTTGTGAAAGAATGGGTCATTCTCAGGAGCTCAGTGAATTCAAGCGTGGTACCATGATAGGTTGCCACCTGTGCAATAAGTCCATCCATGAAATTTCCTTGCTACTAAATATTTCACGGTCAACTGTTAGTGGTATTATAAAAAAGTGAAAGCAACTGGGAACAACAGCAACTTAGCCACAAAGTGGTCTGGTAACCTGCACTAGTACATGAAATAAGGTAACTGCCCTGCCAGTTACCCAACTGAACATCTGAGCTCCTGACTGTTAGTCTCCATTCACATTACTGTGATGTTTTACCACAGTATGCAGCACCACGTGCTACTTGATTGTTGATGCAGTGTGGTATCAAACATTTTAAATAATGCCAACCCAATTTACATTACTCATAGAGATGTACTGCAACAATGCATTAACAACTGTTGTGGTCTGGTGCACTGCCGGAAAAGTTGCAGGTACATTTTTTGGGGCCATTGAGGTGTGCTGACAGACCATTATGGTCTGCCTAATGCAGCACATGTTAACATGTGCTTTTATGCAGCATACCTCAGCGATTAGGTGTAAACCTAGCCTTGGGACTTGTGTGCCATTAATGCATGCCTCATTCCAGCTTACTGTATGGCTGCTATTCCAGGTCAAAAGGCTCACCCTTTAATATCGTCACTTCATCTGGATTATTTTCAGAAAATTCTGATGCTTTATACCACTTCTACTAAAATACCACATGGCCAAATCTGTATTTACCACAATT